CATATCTTTGATCAGATTTGTGATTGGCAAGTGTTTTCTCCCAGCCTGTGGCTTGGGTGGGTGAACTCTCCATCCCCCACATGCATGGAGGCAGCTGCAGGATTCCCACATTTGGGAATTAGGAGACAGTCTGGGTTGGGTCCCAGATCAGTCAGGTGAGATAATGGCTGATAATGGATCTTTCAGAATAAATTATGATATTTCTCCTGTTTATAAAGGTAAAATTTGTTCATTGTAGACAGTTTTTAAAATGATGACAATTGTACCTAAGGAAATAACGATGGAACAGACTCAGGAATGCCAAACAGAAGAAGTTCACTGTCAAGGCCATGTACGTCAGGAGCACGAGTGTGTGGGGCTTCCTATCTACTCGGCTTGGGGCAGCAGGACTATTACAGGCATCCTCCACCTTGGGGATGCGGCTCTTCATTACTCTGAGCTTTGCTCAGGATCGCCTCTGAAATGTGGTAGGCTCAGCTTGCAGTTCATTCCCTCCCATATGTGTTGAGTGCCCAGTCAGTATCTGGTCTGAGCACTTAATAAACGTTTATAAAAGATAAGTAGAAAGTAAGTGAAGATCTTGAACATAGATGTTGTGGAATTAGCAAATGTCTTCAGAACCTAGAGCTGAGCAAGGCTTGGGAAAGTAGAGATTAAAAAAGACAGACATGGAATTAATCAAATGGATTTGACTAATATTGGGAATTATATTCAAGTGCAACACAAATATCATAAATGTTAAAGGCTCCTTGTCTTTGGTGCTTTGTTGATGAAAAGCATTCAGTTTTGGTGCCAAAAAGACTTGGTTTAAAATTCTAGCTCTGCTACTTACTAACCACATACCTTTGCATCAGTGCTTAACCTGCTTTACTTTGATCCTTTGACTTACACATTGTGAATAATTACGCGTACCTGGCGGGGGAGACACAGGGTATGAGGCATGTTGGTACAGTGCCTGACACATTGTAGAAGGTTGGCGGATGTTAGTGGGATTTTAGTTACTACCCTTCTCCTTCCCAGTTTCTAGTCTTAGGTGGGATAAAGAAATCTGGCTGCTAGAGCAGGGACCTGACCATGAGCTTTTCCACTTGGAGTAGCTCAGAGGGGAGATCTTAGAGTGGTATTGCCAGCCCCGCCGGGATAAATTTTTGTACCCCTGTGTGTGTGTTTCAGCAATACAAAAAAAAAATCATGGGATAAAGATAATTTGATTAGATTTTAGTGTCTTAGAACATAGACTTTTCATGCACAGAGTGAAGACTGTAAAGCTGTGTGGTTAGACTGCCTCTAGGTACCTACTGGAATGAATCATTAATGTCAGCAGCAGTATTGCTCATACAAGGGAATCCCAGGACCTGTGCTGTAAAATTGGCACCATGTTCCCATGGGAGAACATCTTGGGGTGACTGTTGTAGAGGATGGAATTAAGGCGGTGGTCAGGTTCAGGTTGGCAGAATGATAGTTACAAGGGTGCCTGGCAGTTTTGTAACAATTTTAGAGCGGTTTCCAATGGATATTTGTAATGAACTAGTCTTTGCTGTCATTCTGAGTTCTTTTATACTGTCTATACTACCTTTTTCTTTCTTTTTTCTTTTTTTTAATTGTAGTATTGTCAGTATACAATGTGTCAGTTTCTGGTGTACAGCATAATGTTTCAGTCATGTATATACATACATATATTCGTTTTCATATTCTTTTTCATTATACATTACTATAAGATATTGAATATAGTTCCTCATACTATACAGAAGAAACTTGTTCATCTGGTTTTGTGAGGATTTTCTTGTATTTCTGAAGTAAGAGATATTATGCCAAAGTTCAGGAGATACTGCCTGTGAATTGTTTCATTTTGAGATGTGATTTTCTGGTGTGTTCATGAGGGAGGGAGAGCTATGTGTCCTTCTATTCTGCCTTCTTAGCAGTCTCTCCTCTCTGCTACCTTTTCCTTGTTCCTGATCCTTTTCTTCCATGCCTGGAAGTTTCTTGACTCTTGAAATCTAAGTTATCTCTTCTGTAATATTTTTGGAACTTTATAACGTTCTCAAGTGACAAACTGTAGTATTATGCATTGCCACATAAATCATACTGTTGACAACCTGCTGTAGCCTGTTTAAGCCTGTATATTGTTTAAATTTGATTTTTTTTAGGTCATGAAAAACTTAAATGCTTTGCTTAATTATTTGAATTTTAAATTCTGTACAAAAGACTTGCATTAAAAAGAGATTTTTGCACTATAGCTGTTTGGTCTGGCTTTTATAACAACAAGACTTGAGAATGACTTATCAGAACCACTTTTGTGATTTCTGTGTTTGTTTCATTTTTGTCTTGTGGCCAGACATGAAACAGTATTGAAAATTTGAGTCCTTTTATTAAAAGGCAATTCTTTTGTGTGTTAGAATGGGAACCTCTTTTTAAAAGGCCTCCCTCTGTGTCCACTAAGCTCCTTGTTAGAGCCCACTAATGGCATGTGATACAGTAAACTATCGAGCCAGGTGGTCACACCTGCCTCCGAGGAGGGCAGAAAACTGCAGTCCTGGTACGTCTCCTAATAGAAGGCGGAGAGCCAGCGAGTGGCCCTCATGATTTGTGGTTCTCGTTTGTGGTCTCCATATACCCAGCTCTCTCTCCCTGCCATAGGCAAAATAACTGACCCCTCTCCAAGGGCAAGAACCCAAATTGCCCCACTCAGTCATAGCATCACACTCAAAGTTCAGTATTTCTTCATCATGTTCAGATATGGCACCTCTTGGTCTGGAGACTTCATAAACTAAAAGACCAGTAGTCTGTCCCTTCTGTCCCCTCTCACCCTGCCCCTACCCCCGGTTAACTGGGGAAGATAACTGCCCAAACGACTCTCCTTCAGCAAGGGGAGGAGTGGGAGGCACACAGCAGTCCCAGAGTGGCAACAATTCTGAAATCCTACTGAGCAGGCATGTTGGGGGACCCCCACCTGTGGTTGGAGATCGTCCATGAATTGTGCTTCCTGGGAGGGCCCTCCAGTCCCTTGTTCTCCGTGCCCATTGACTCCACCTTCTTGGAGTTTCTTCCCTTTCCAGTAACTTCCTTGGCTACCACTGAAGTGGGCAGTGGAGAATAGACCCTCACTGGGGGCTGAGCAGTTTTCTGTGGCAACTTCCTGTCTATAGGGTTATTGTGAATATCCAATAGTCCTAGCCCTCCTTTAACCCAGACTGGTGGTCGTTTTAGCAGTACCACTCTCCAAAATTTTGTTGGCTTCTTATCTCTTTGATTGCAGTTAGCTTCATGTGTCTGTAGCCAGACTTACATTTTTTGCTAGCTAGAGCTTAGGTTTGCTGCATTTCTCATCATTTTCGCCCCTCCGTGAGCCCTCCCCTCTATTTATTTGAGGGTGTCATTTCTCTCACCGGCCTGAGTTGGACATCTACTGCCTTCGTTTCTTTCTCCCCGAACCATTTTGTCCTAACTGAAAGAATTTACTGAGTAGTGCCCCATTAATCCAGGCTGAGGTTTTCATTTCAGGTCTGATGCCGATCCCTTTGATTTGGTCCTTACCAGGATCGAGTTTTAATCATCTGTCATTCCTTCTGAGGCCTTCTAAGTTTGAATTTTAATTGTTTGGGTTTGAGAAGTTAGTTGCTTCTTTTAATCTTTTAAGTCTTTGAGTTTGAACTCTATTTTCTTACATTCCTGCCTGTAAACCAACCAATTCTTTTTTGCTATCATTTCTCTTTTGCATGGGTCTCTATCTTACTCAGTTATTTTTTTTCATCTCATTCCTTGTCTTTTCATCTTTTCCTTTTGATTTTCCACCTAATCTTACTTTTCCCCAGTTTGATCCAGGCCGTGCCTCCTTGTGCTCTACTGAGGGTGCCAAACTATTTCTAGACTTTTCTTTTGGCTCCATCACCAAATCCAGTAAGCTCTGTCTTTGAGGATTTCAGAAGCTGTTCCTTTTTCTTTACTGAAATACTTTATTCTTCACATGGCTAGTGTTTTTCTTCTCCATTTTTTATTCTTCTAAAAAGTGAAATCTGCCAGATGTGTTATCTTTCAACAAACTGGCTCCTTTACCATCCACTTGGATCACAGCTCAGGGCAGGCTGACCTATACACATCCTGATGCAATTCTCAGTTTCTAGAAGACTTTTGCTCAGATAACATCTTGACTTACCTTCCCTTCCTGATTATCTGGTATGGGTGGAATACATGAAATTTGAAATGTGGGGCACTTGCTGCCACCAGGAGTTTTCCTTTGCTGTCTCTTAGGTTGCTTTGCTTATTGAGACTGTCCTCAGAATGTGACATGTCCTCCCAAGTTCCCTTCAACTTCTTTCCAGTTATTTTCTAGTTGTTGCCCTGCCTGAGCGTACAAAGCTGACTGCACGAAGATGGGAGAGAGGGATGTGAGAGAGAGAGAGAGAGTGTGTGTGTGTGTGTGTTGGGGGCAGCAGACAATAATCTCGCCAATACAGATACCTCACTGGTGGGAACTTAAATTTCGCTGCTGTTTTACAGTGGGTACAGTCCTTGAGTGTCTGAATCAGATGACCAACTATAGAGGGTGTTTGAAGCCCCTACTTTTCTTTTTTCAGGTGGCCTTAGTTTCATGAGGCTTAAACTGCTTATGGCAGGACAAGAAACCTGGACAGGTTTCCCCCCCGCCCCTTTCCTCAATTTAGTGTCCCCATTTATGGTTAGTGAGCTCCTTCCAGATTCTGGTGTTACCCGTTGATTTTAGTTTTATATATAATGATTTCTTAGGTTATTTCCTCTATGTGCAGAAATTGAGAGTGCTTGCATGATTCAGGGCACACAGGCTTTCAAACTGGGTGGAAGTCCTTGCCCCTTAATTCCTGCCTTTGTCTTCTGACACCTACAGAAGGCTCGTGTTTTTAAGATTGGTAGTAGAATTCCTACAAGTAATTATTGTCATATCTTTATATTTGGGTTTTTACTAAGAAGCGTAAGAGTTTTACAGTTTCATCTGAGTTTGACATTCTGTAGTATTTCTATTTCAGGTAACAACAGAGGCAGCAATGTTTCACTTCTTCAGAAAGCCTCCGGAACCTAAAAAGCCCTCAGTACCAGAGACAGAAGCAGATGGATTTGTCCTTTTAGGTGAGTCTTTTTAGGAAACAAGATCATAATTAGATGAATTATTTTTCCTTTAAAAGATTACTTGAAAAGTATATGATTGATTTTTAAATTATTTCCTACTAATGACAGAATTAGTTTATATATATGAAATCTATAAAAATGTAAGTCATCAATCACTTGAAATGTTGTCATCAAGTCAGACTCTTATACATTGGTTTGGATGCGTCCTTCACATTCAGGTTATTTATTTGGGGGCGAGAGGTAATTAGGTTTATTTATTTATTTTAATGGAGGTACCGGGATTGAACCCAGGAGCTCGTGCGTGCTGAGCGTGTACTGTACCATTGATCTATACCCTCCCCGACTCCGACATTCAATTTATAAAATCATCCCATTTTTTCTGTAAGGTAGTCAACCTTTTTAATTATGAGAAACCAGATGTCTTGAGTCATTGATAAATTCAAGTACTGTTTTGCAAGTAGCATCAAACCTTGTCTTAAATTAGCATCTGAAATTAAATTAGGCATCCAATAAGTGAAGTACACTTATTTTATTATTCAAGTATAGTTGATTTACAATATAATGTTAATTTCAGGTATACAGCATAGTGATTCAGTGCTTTTACAGATTACACTCCATTAAAGTTATTACAAGACAGTGGCTATAATTCCCTGTGCTCTATGATATATCCTTGTTGCTTATATGTTTTATATACAGTAGTTTGTATCTCTTAGTCCCATACCCCAACTTGCCCTCACCATTTCCCTCTCCCTTTTGGTAACCGCGCGTTTGTTTTCTGTATCTGTGAGTGTGTTTCTGCTTTGCATACATATTCATTTGTATTATTTTTTACAATAATACACACACAAGTGATATCATAAATGATTTTGTAAGTGATATCATACAGTATTTATCTTTGTCTGACTTACTTCACTAAGCATAAAACTCTTCAGGTTCATCCATGTTGCTGCAAATAGCAGAATGTCATTCTTTTTTATGGCTGAGTAATAATCCACTGTATGTGTCATATACACATATATATATGTATACCATATCTTCTTAATCCAGTCATCTGTTGATGGGCACTTGGGTTGTTTCCATATCTTGGCTTTTGGAAATAGTGTGCTATGAACTTTGAGGTGCATGTATCTTTTCAAATTTAGTGTTTTCATTTTTTCTGGATGTATACCTGGGAATGGAATTGCTGGATCATATGGTAGTTCTGTTTTAAGTTTTTGAGGGAACCTCCATGCTGTTTTCCACCATGGCTGCACCACTTTACATTCTCACCAACAGTGTTAAAGTACACTTTAAAATCTAAATATGTTAGATAGTGTATCCTGAAAATTAAGACTAGTGTATTTTCTATTATAAAATCAATACTTGCTAGTCCTTAAGATTTTAATGGCTTTAAAAAATATTTAATTCAACCAAATACTATGTTCTTCTCAAGGGGAATTCTGAAAAATAACATTTTCTTCATGTCATTGTGATCTTTTCCCCAAGGAAGAGATTTGCAGTCTTTGGTTAGTTCTTCCCTGAAGTTCTCTCCCCAAATTGTGGTGAGGAGGAACCAAAACCCAGTGTCCCTGTGTGATGTGCCTTCTGTTCCACTCTGGACATCCTCCCACCAAATTCAGCTCCTTCTCTGAGAGGGTTTGCATGAACTCAGAGTGTTTGCGCCTGGTGATGTTTCTCAGATGTCTCCTTTTCCAGATTCTGGTTCCTCCCTCCTCTGTCTTTATATTGGCCCAATCAGCCTGGGGTCCCCTGGCATTGGCAAGTGCTCTGTGTGTCTTGAGAAGTGGAGGATGGCCCCTTGGATTTCCAGGTCATCCTGAATTTTCAACTCAGGCCCTCTCAGAGCCAGGCTCATGCCATGTCTCAGACCCCAAATGTTCAGAAGTATGAGTGGGTGGGCCTCTACCTCTTCAGCCCCTCTCTTTAGGATCTGGTCTCTCACAGAAAGGACACAAGGGTTTTATCCCTCTGACCCTCTTCCATTTCCTCACCTTAATCTCTAGGACACCAGAAGAGAGTTTTTCTTGTGGCCATAAAGTTACCATAGAATATTCCATCTTCTCCACAGTCAAGTTTTGGCAGGCCCATGTGTTTTTCTGAATCTGCTTCTTGTGGCCTGGGTCAGTGGCTGTAGCTTGAGTGGTCTGAGTTATTTTCTCTCTGATCAGATCCCCTACATCTTAGGGAAAGCAGTGGGGCATAGTCTGACCAGGGCTGCTGCTTTTCTGGGGAGCCAGCTGACTGTGGAAAAAGTAGGGTGCCATGGACATGACTGCTTATCTGGCCCCTCTGACTATGTCCAGAATTCATGCTTCCAAGTCAGAACTGGCTCTGTCAACGCCAGCTTCTGGTTCCGAAGTGGTCAGTGTTGCTTCCTTCTTATCTGCTGGATTAGCCCCACTCACAGAGAAACTTTCAAGGATGCCTCTGGTCTCCTATGGAGTTTCTGCTTCCTCAGGAGTTTCACAATAAATTGCTCTCTCAGAAATTTGCTTCAGCAGCGCCTGGTTTTCCAAACTCTGTTCTGTGTCCCTCATTTTAGGATACCTCCATAGTCTTAACACATATGCAGAGAACTTTGCCCTCTTCTGTTGTTTCGTGATTAGAAATCAGCATTATTCTCTACATTATCAAATAGCCATTTAAAGGATGTGAGTTTAATGGACTGGCATGTTTGAGAGCACATACAGCTTCTAAAGCTGGCCGTCGAGAACTCTTCCCCATCTTCTTCACCTCTCTGGCTCTGTGGCAGGCAGCCACTCTGCAGCACTTCAGAGACAAATTATAACCACTCATGCAATAGCCCTCGGTGCTGTTCTTTCTAAAATCCCCTCCAGTGTCTGGTAGCTCATAGCATGGAGATGTTTCACCTGCTGTCTCACAGCTAACCCAGCGGGGCCGCCTTGCCAGGGCGTTCTGCCTCAGCGGGTGAAGCTTCTGTTGGACCATTTCTTTCCTAGGAAGGGCTCTGGTTTAAGAAGTGGGCTTTAGCTGAGCCTCTGGAGACATAAATTTACTCATTCGTGAGGGAATTTCCAGCAGGTTTTTACTTTAATATGCTTTCATGTCCCAGCTGCTCCATCTGATTTAGCTCCGGTCTAAAGTTGTGTTTTCCCAAAAGCTGCCATGCTGTGTACCTTGAGGGAGTTTTCCCAGCACCGTCTTGGACTGAGTAGCCCTGGTGTTGACTCCTGCATCGTATGCCTCACAGGTGGGCAGTCTAGGTGAGGCATCACTTTGGTCAGGGTCCCAGGATTGTGATTTAACTTCAGGTGCAGCTGGTACTACACCCTTGTTCAATGTTCCGGGCGAGAGCAGATGCCCAAGTGTCGGCTGAGGCTGCCTCCTCCTTCAGCTGCCCTGTCGGTTGACGCTTGTCTCTGTTAAGTGCTGTTTCCCCAGGTGCAAAGTTCCACCTCCCTCTGCCATTTTCCGTGGGAAGTCCTCATGTACCTACTGTTGTGTGAGCTTAGTTACCCTGCTGGAGTTTTGATGCTGTCAGTCAGCATCATGTCTTGGCTGTCACTTCCTCTGTTTTCTTTCTCTTTTCATCCGTCACACCATTTTCCTTCTTTCTCAGGAGCACCTCAGAGGCCCTGCACTGAAGTGTGGCTAGAATGGTGACTTGAGCCAGACCCCTTGGGCTTGTATCCTGGCTTCACAACTTAGCTGTAGTTTCCATTATCAGGGAGGCAAGACTTTTACCTCTCACCTCTTATCATCTCTGGCCAGGCCTGAAAATCAAATCAACATAAGACAGATTAACAGAAGAAAAGTATACAGATTTTTACAGGTACATTAGAGCCCCCACAGGAGAATACAGGCCCAAAGATGTGGCAAAACCTAGGTTCTTATATGCCAGGTTGAAAGAGGCAGTTGTGGAAAAGTAAAATACGTCAGGAGACCACAGGAAGATGAGGGTTATTTTAACAGGGTCTGATTGTATGGAGCACTCTTGCCCTTGACCCCCCGTCTCAGATGATAAGCACGTGCCTTCCTCCTTCCGTCTTCCGTATGGAGGTTTTTATCTCCTGCTTTCAGCACAAGGAGAGGATAGAGTGCCCTGCTTGCACCTGACGTTGGTCAAGTGCCATTAGCTCAGAATAATCTTTATGCCAGAGTGGCATAGTTGGGGGCCTATCTGCCACCCTTCACCATTTGGGGCAAGCTGCATAGCCTCCCAGGTGTCATATAGCTTATCTAGAAAATGAGCCTGATAACAGTACCCAACCCAGTAGGGTTTCTGGGGGGATTAAATGAGTTACTGTGTGTAATGCGCTTAGGACAGCCGTGTGAGTGAAGTGGTGGTGTTACACCTTCATGTACAGGGGAGGACTTAGAAGTTTCTCCAGTTTACATGTAGCAGATCTGGAATTAGCCCAGGCATTCTGACTTCAGAGCCTGTCCTCTTGACCACTAAGCTACCCGTCTATTTTTTTTTTAATGTCATATTATCATTTTAAATTTTAAGACATAAATGACATTTTAATATCTTTTTGAAAAATTGAAATTGTGTTCATTAATGTTTAAAAGACAAAATGCTGTGGTTTTTGTCTTTGTTTATGGTGGTAAAAGAGGGTTGGTTGTGTTACTATTCATAAAGTTTGGCTTTAATTTTGGCTATTCCAAACTTTTCACTATTTAATATTTTAAGTATTTAAGAATATTGCAGAAAATTATAACCTCCTTAATGAAGCTGAGCTTGGGAGATGGTATACAGTCAGCCCACCGTATGCACAGATTCTGCATCTATGGAGTCAACCAACCCCAGATCGAAAATATTCAAAGAAAAAAAAATGTAGAATGTTCCACAAAAAGCAAAACTTGAATTTGCCATGTCCCAGCAACTATTTACATAGCATTTACATTGTATTAGGTATAATAAGTAATCTAGAGATGATTTAAAGTATGCAGGAGGATATGAATAGGTTATATGCAAATACTGTGCCTTTTTATATAAGGGACTTGAGTGGCTGCAGATTTGGTGTGGGGTCGGGGTC